TACTGTACATAGGCACTTTATGAATCGCTTGTGTACATATCCACTTAGCTTTGTTGTACAAGAAATATATTCAGCATAAATGTACATTAAGTGTCTAAAATCAATATCTCCATTAGGCATCATTCACCCTTATTGTTGGTACTGTGATATCATAGTTATGTGTGAAGCTTTAGATATCTGAGGCACAATAATTGTTGATGTTGATCTTATAAAGTATCTAAATGATTTATTTCTCCACTGACCGAAAACAGCTTTTGTAAAGAAAGTAGCTTGACAGTGATTAGACTTCCTCATATAACTTTCAAGCGGGATTACACTCTAGGCCTTCGGTTGAGAAGCGATAGTTTAGGTGTTTTCGGGTGCAATCATGTGAAGGGAGATGCATGCTTGTAGACAGTCGTGAAGCTAGTCAAAATTGGTGGTAGAGAGCCAAGTGTAATGGAGATGTGCCCCCTGTGAAGCCATGTGTACTATTCGGAATACAAAGAACGAACAATGGTAATAATCAAGTGCTAGTTTACAGGGATTCGATTGGTTTCAACATTTCATCATGAGCTGACATTGGGTAGAAGACCATTGGGAAACTTGGGAGTACTAGCCACTAGCCAGCGGTTTATCCTAGTTTGAGACTCTTCATCAGTACGCACTCATCGCCAGGGTTCGAAACCAGGACCTTCCGGTTACCAGGCGAGCTCGAGAGCATTAAGCCACTGGGACCCGATCCAATGGCCAGTCCATGAATTCCAAATTCTGCCAATTCACGATATGGCGCGACCAATGATAAATGTCATCGCTGGCGAGTATTTGTCCTCACATCTGACCTACTGCAACCCACTGGTCACGACTTCCCACTAGAAGACAGGTGATTACGTACTTGAATAGGGCCAGTCGTCAGTAGTGAACATCAGATTGATATTCAAGTGTCGGTTTGCAGGGATTCAATAATAATAAAAGCAGCTTTATTCCAAACAGTATTTGTGGTACAGGTATGGAATTTTCAGCGTGCATTACAATATATTTCACCTAATTACCTCATAAATTTTATAAGATTTTAAAATCAAAAAGCAACAACCAAAAAAATAGATAAGTAAAAAGAAATATAAAGAACAGCGTTGCGTTTACATTTCAAACAATGCACCACAGGATATGAAATATAAAATTAGTGTGTAATAGAAGACGGGAACAACAATATAATAGTAACGAAGAAAGGAAAACGAAAGCCAATGGGACTATTTGTTAGAGTGCCGCAGTAAGTTGATCGTGTCATACCTAACGGATTTCTCATCACATAACAGGTGTGCCAGATATGGTATTGTGGAGTTTTTGTATTTGGCAGTCCTAGCATATAGCCTCCTATAGCTGCTTCTAGTTCTACCAGATGAAATGCAAGGAGACAGATGCGTATAGAGAGAATGCTCGGGCCTGACAGTATTGTATTCGCTAGTTTTTTGCATGACATTGTATGTTTATCCACAATAGTGTTAACCAGTTGGTTTAACGATATCCCACTTGCCCTACTAACGGCTTTTAGTGCCTGCCCTTCTCAGCAAAGCAAAGTCCTTCTTGATTGATTGGTTTCAAGATTTCATCATGGTTCTCTAACTGATGTCAGTTCATGATGAAATTCTGAAACAGGAATAATAATGGTTTTGAAGATATTGACAACCAGCCTAAGTTACATACAAAGCGGCCGCTTTTCTTATTCATGGCTAGATGGCTTCAGCTGCTTTGAATCATATTAACCAGTAATTTTGTGAATTATTGATGCACTCACTCAATTTTTAAAATAATGGCTGACATCCATTAAGGTGTCAGTGCTGATGGTTTCAACAAGCTTTTATGTCCCTATTTATTAAATTCCTTGAGATATTTATACATGTATTGCTTTGATTGTATTCATATCTTAAATCACCTTCATGGAGTTATTCTGTCACATTTATGCTTGCCCATTTTTTTTGATACATTACAGACATTTTTCAAAAGACTGCTAGTGAATAAAAAGTATTCTTTTCGATAAATTCCTCTTCATCAGGTTCCACATTTATATATATATGACAGTAATTATTAGAGATATATTGGTATTTTTTACGAGTTTGACCACGGATCAATATTACTTAGAGAACCAGTGAAAACCATCACCGGAGTACTGGACAGCTGTTTATTCCTAGTTTGGGACTCTTCCCAGTACCGCCGGGGTTCTGGTTACAAGGCGAGCGCGTAGATCATCATTACACCACCGTGACTCAATCCAATGGCCAACCCATGAATTCCAGCATCTGGTAATTCACGATATGGCGCGACCACACTAGTGAGGCCCATCCAGTCACGTGTGTGAAGATGGATGTCCCAACGATGATGACATTGGTTGGTGCCAGTCGCGCTAAATCACGAATTGGTAGAAGTCAGAATTGATGCGCTGGCCATTGAATCGGGTCCCAGTGGCTGAATGGTGTGTACTAGCTTGCCTTGTAGTCGGGAGATCCTGGGTTCGAACACCGTGTCGGTGGGTGCGTGCTGCCGATGATTTACAAACTAGGCTGTTGAAACAGCTATCCAGTACTCCGGTGCAGGTTTACAATGGTCATCTAACTGATATCTGTCCGCAATCAACTCGTTAGAACAAATCTATTCCTTACAAACCAACTATAGAAAATATTGTTATTAATAACGTGAATACTGTTTTAAATTACATTGAATCAATTGTTAGTGTCGATAGATTACATTTCAAAAACTGTCAGTAGGCGAGAGATGTTATACATTAATATAACACTTAACTGAATTGAATATCAGATTAATTAAGGGATTGTTCTAAGGAACGTTTAAATACCGGAAGGCTGTAGCTTATATCATCCACATACCCGGTTGTGATTCTGAAACTGAAAGATGAATTATCTAGGATAGCCACTTCTAATTGCATTTATCTATTCAACTGTCTGTATGAAGCCGGTTATGTCAGCCATTGGTTGCTCTGGGAACTTGATTTTTCGTGCTCTCTCGGGAACACTTACCAGTGCGATTAAATCAAGGTTTTGTTAAAACCGTTCTATATCGGATGACGTCGTGCAATCAGGCCACAAAGTTAGCATTGAAGATTAGTTTCTCTATCATCTGTCGAGTATCGAACAAATTACCGTAAAACCTCCATATACCGAACACTCTAAATAGCAGAAGCCATCCCAATTCTCCAAAAAAAAAATGGAGCACTAAGTACAAAAGAAGCAGGTTCAATCACTAGTGCTACCCTGGCCTACTTTCGAGCCTTTAAATTCATAAATTCTGTGTTAATTCCCTTTATCTGATCTTCAATTAGTTCAGTCTTATATTAACGCATATCATCTCTCGCCTATTGAGATATTTTGAATTGCAATCTGTCGACACTAATTATTGATCCAGTGTGATTTAAAACAACAATAATAATGTTGTTAATAAGTATATTTCTGTAATAATTACTGTCAAACAAATAAATGTAGAACCTCATGAAGTGGAATTTATCGAAAAGAATATTCTTTGGAATCATGAAGATGTGTAGCTCAGGTGAGGATGATTTTAGAGAACCACAACAAATTCAGAATAATTCTTTGTTCAATCAGTCAGTCTTTTAAACACGGCATCTTCAAGGGATAAAAATGTTGCCAATCTAATGGCGATATGTTTGTTAACAATAATAAATAATAATAATAATAACCAACTCGAACACACATTTATACCTTAGTTACTCTTTAGTTTTCCAAAATCATGCATCACTTGTTTGCAAACATTTCTACCCTTTAACTGTTTTGTATTAAATTTTCTTGACTAGTTATCAACACCTCTAATAGGTTGATACTGAATGATTATTGTTGACAAACACATCGCCACTATATTGGTAAACTTGTTTGTATTATATTAAAAATCCTGTGGATATATATTGGAGTAGAGCTAGAGACAAGAATCTAATTGTGAAAAGTAAATATTTCTTCGTTCAATCCTTTTCAACTTTCTTAATGTCAAATAAAGATTTTTTTTCTATATTGAAAATTTTAATAGTGATTATAATGACTTTATTATTCCAAACAGTATTTTTGACACACTGTTGAGTTCTCAGCACAACTTGAAGTGATTGACTTCTATGAAAGAATCTACAGTGGCCTGTTAGTCATGTTTAATAATCACTCACCAACTTAGTTACGAATCCTTTGGTTGAATAAGAACTAGTTTGTGGGGATTCTATATTTGCTTCAGGTTACACCACGGATTTATATCAGTTAGAGAATCATTGAAAACCAGGGAGTACTGGACAACCGTTTCGTCCTAGTTTGAAACTCATTGGCAGTACCCACCCCCACTGGGTTTCGAACTCAGACGACAGGACCTGCCAATTACAAGGCGAGCTCTTATACCATTCAGCCACTGGGACTCGATTCAGTGGCCCATGAATTTTAACTTCTAACATTTCATGACTTTTATTGTGACCACCTACCAATGTCATGGGTGGGAACTCCATTCTTACTCCCAACTAGATGGAACCCAGTGGTGACGACTTCTCTTTAGAACTACAGGCAACTTCGTCCTGTAGCCAGTCACCAGCGAGCATCAGATTAATTTTCAAGAGTTTCGTTTGTAAGGATTCAGTTTGTTTCAGGTCTAGCCTCAACGATAGTTAGTAATTAGCGTAATGTGTCTAGTCCTTTGTTTGGTACAGACTGAGTTCTGCAGGTCAAGTTTGCAATGTGGCCACCATGCCCACAGGTGGCTTGACAACGTGGTGCACCGTGATATTTTTTGTTATTAGATAATTGTAGGTAATCAGCTGATGATAAGTGCTGACAAGCACGAAACCTAGGTCTAATGCTACCTGCTGATAACCTCCAAGCATTTGATAAAAACAATTGGTTACAAATCCTTAAAATACTTTTTGCCTAGCGATTTATACATTTTCGCCTGTTATATAACACCGGTTGTTATTGATAAACTTTCTGTATCATTTTTTTCAATACTTTTATTCTCATACATATATTCAGTACAATTTTGTTGGAAGAATCCTTGGTCCCGATGGATCAACAGCTAAATGTTTACAACAGTTTTTGGGCGTGAGAATTATGATTCGTGGTCGAGGTTCCATGCGTGATCAGACGAAAGTAAGCATTTATTTTGGAGAAATTTGTCTTTGTGAAAGTATAAATTTACTTTACACAACCATTTTATTCGTATTCACGACGCGTATTCATGGAGTCTGTGATTATTTGTATCAGTCATTTAGAAGAAGGCTTTGGGTTATCCCACTGAAGTCTACAAGCTCTTGGTAACATGGGGCTGATGGCTAATCAGGCTAGCGCAGGTATATTCATTCATTTAAATCCTCAAAATTCTAGATACCCTCACTGGTATTGATTGATTTCTTATTGATTAAATACACATATTCATGTATCTGTTGTGTTCTTTTTTATCTTCTGCCTTGAAATATGGCAAATTGATGTGCTACACTTCTGCGCGCTAATGATAGCTTGATACCTTGATGAGTTGGTTGGACTTCAATATCGCAACTGACCCAACAAGCCAAATTAGTTAGGACAAACGTTCCTGTAGGTCTTACAGTGCCAGATAGATCGTGTAGATCGCGATTAGACTAAAAGCAGTTACCGTCATATTATAAGTTGCCCACACTATATTTGAAGTTTGGTAGCGAAGTTGTACTACTGGCGAGTAAAAATGTAATTTAGAGTAAGTATTTCCGTCGGATGACCGGCAAGTCAGATATACTGCATCTCCATTCCAGGAGGAGGGAGAGGTTAGAAAAGGTCAAACCTAAAGTGTATATCCTGACTTACCTTGCAGGAGTACGCAGCTGGCAGTGTGATGTTCATATGGACAAAACTCCGAAAACTAACTCGAACCGTTGTTCCTTCTGTATCAGATGCTCTAAGAGGAAATCAACTTCCACGATGTGAGCAGCCAAGAAGTAACAATCTTCTACACACTTCGTTATGCGTATAAGGCTTTCCTAATTTTCACTCACCTTCGTCTTGCTATTTGTCACTTTTAGTATTGCTCCATGGGAGTAGGTTCTCCGTTTTCTCTTAACTCCGTTACCACTAATAGAGGCTTGAGCTGGAAAAACATTGCTGCGAGTTCCTTTACATCATTCTGCAGACATCATACTAGAGCATTCAGTGTCCCTATCCAGAGTCAGACAACAGGTCCTACTGGCTAGAGCTCTGGCATTTCAAACTATGTATGTATGTATGCTGTGTTTCGGAGACAAGCATGCAGGACCCAAGTGTGGTTATTCACTTTCCCCAAACTCGCCAGTATGATAAATCTACGGAGTACGACTTATGGCATCAGGATATTTTTCGGCTACTTCGGATGGACATGCCAGTGTAGGAATAGCATTTAGCGCTAGGGCAGAAAATCACTACTTAATCGAATCTCATTGGTTAGTCGTATATGTGCTGTCCGGATGAATGGATCCGTTAGAAGGACGAAAGATTGTTGACATCTTTTTATAATTTCCGCATACTCGACAACCGATTGCAGTTCAGACGGAAGTTAAGGATGACTTCTATCAATGCTGTCTGGTTTGCTTCTTAAAGCAAAACGTTCCGATACAGCCATTTTAACGAATGACTTCAATGCTGGATTCAGTAAGCTGTTCTATTCATGAGTGTATTGGTGGCACTATGGAATACCATACTGACCAATTGTGACAATGGTAGCCGTCTTCTACAAATTTGTTCAGATTGTCATTTGTTCCTGGTCAGCATTAATTTCAAAAATTGCCACACCTGGCAACTTCGATTATCAAGCGAACGATTGTTCCAAAGAGATCACATTAGCTATAGGTTTTCGATGGAGAGGGTCGGCAGGAGACAGCTTCTTCTTTCGGAGCACCTGTATCGATTCCGATAACTCACTAGTCTGTAATAGATACAAGGCGATTAATTCAGATTGGCTCTGGAAACGACAAAGAGCGAAGGTTTCTCAAATAGGAGCTGACTAAAAGCCTTCGCAATGAACTTAAACAATGATGGGCTACAAAAGACAAAAGTATGGGAAGAGCATGGGTGGTAGGTGCTAATAGACAACTATTTAGACTCATTAGAGAATGGGTTGTAAAAACCAATAGTAAGTGAAACGAATTCCAGAGAGGACGCCACTTTAATTACTTTAATTAATGTGTTGAAACCTAAGATAAAACCGATGGACTGGTGTAAATCATTGACTATCCTAGTTTTTAAGAAGGGAGACAAATCTTGTTATAGACATTGGGGGGTTAGCTTAACTAACATAGTATTTAGATTCTAAGTGCAATAGTCATGTGTGACTAAGCGGTGCCCGGGAGAAACAAACGCGTGATAACCAGGTAGGCTGTAGACGTGGCTAAGGGTGTATTAGTCATATGTTCACCCTCTGACAGATTCTGGAATATAGGCGTACTTACCGACGTCCCACATTTAACATATTTTGTAATATGAAGGCAGCATTTGACCCCAATGACCTAAAGGTTTTCTTATAATATTTCGCCATAAAGATATATCGTACCAATCAAGTCACTACTCACACAGTCGTGTAAGAGCTTACGGAGAGTAGTCATCTGAAGTGATGATAAACAGTGGTAATTGTTAGGGATGCACACTATCCCCATTTTTGTTTAATTACATGATAAATACCCTACTGGATGTTATCCTGACTGACTTAATGACTTACTGAATGACTAGTTACAGGGTGCAGTCTCGTCAACTTAGAATATGTGGATGATATTGTCCTCCTAGGTAAAGATACTGAGAAAATGAGAGTCTTCTGAACACATTGAAAATAAATCTTCGGATGTTTGGCATTTGATTTTCCTGTGTCAGATGTAAGGTGGTGCTTCAGGAGTACTGTACACTGACTCCAAGTTGTACAGACAGGGAGTGAAGTGGTTGAGTGGGTCAACCACTTATTTAAGAAGTTGCGTCGTCCCTAATAGACTGATTACTGATAAAATCTCTTTACGGTTCTAAAAGACGCGTATGGTATTTGCCGACTTATTTCATCTCTGGCGTGGACGTGCTATTGGTTATCGATCAAACGACGTTTGTACTGTGCAACAGTCCTCTCTGTCCTGCCACGTCTCGCGACTGTGAAACAACGTCTTTGAAAGTGCATAACCTGGTTTATTATCTAAGCACTAACTTGATCCATTATGGGCACCAAGAGATACTCACGCAAAATTTCATTAATTGTGCGAAGACTGGGACACTGACTGGCCGCCTAGATGATTGTTTTAAGGGGTCACTCCCTGAGCGCTTAACTCAAAGTCTGATTCACAAAGTAGTGCGGTAGCGTCAAGATCTGCATTCCTATGATCACCAGTGACCAAAACAGGTTTATACGCCATCAGATTCATTCGAATTCCGGAGCCCATGTGCACCACATAGGTCTGGAATCAGGTTTTTCCAGCTCCTCTAGGTAGACCAGCATATCCACCATTCCGGTTATCAGCACCAGACGTCCACGTTCGCCCCTTCACTTTTGTGGAGCATGACCTGAAGAGACTAGGTGTCTTTGACCGTATGTATTTTTGTTTTGTCTCTTGTTTTAACTGGTATAATATGGTGAGTAGTGTTGAGGTTAGGCGTAGAGAGTATTAGGTCAGTGGCACAGTGGTTAGGACTCTCGCCGACCATGCACATGGTCCAGGGTTCGAGCCCATACCGACGCACACTTGATATCTATGGTCGGCCTGCAAATTTTGGGCTACCGATATCCACGCTGAAAATTCCACACTTGTACCAAAAATACGGTGTGGAATCAAGCTGTAATCAAAAATAAAATAAAAAATAAAATAAGTCTATCAATAAGGTTATAAAGCTTCATCAGTTGAAATGGCTAGAAGACTGAGCCATCACCTTCCCCATATTAGCTAATGTTAGGTAACATAGGATTATAGTTTAAACGAGTTAAGGATGGTCATGTCAGAACCTGGCATCAATCCATGGTTTAAGCCAGCTACGTAAGGATGTGTAGACTGTCTGATGATTGGGGTTCTCGGGACGTTAAGAACTAATTGGCTTTTTGCTGTTATTGACATGGCTTAAAATCGTTCTGAATGGCACTGATACACATTCACACTCCCTATAAGCTCCTTGATCTATCAAATTCTCATTATTCATCATTATACCTATTTGTTTTCTCCTATACATTTGCATTCATTATAAACTCCTTTGACTCTTTCCCCTTTTTTCGCTATCTTTATTCGGTAGATATGGAATGTGTCAGCTTGAATTGCTGCACTTTGTTTTTGGAAAGTCCTACGTAGTAAACTCAGTCAGTCAGTCACGTCTGTATCTCTGAAGATTTCACTTGTAAAATGGTTTGTTTAGTGCCATAAAATAATGATGCTTCTCAAGAATCAGGGTATTTTTTTCTTCGTGAAATAGTAGTGCAGCGTGTGCTACTGACAATATTTATTAGTAGTATATAAAGAGACGTTCGTCGCAGCACAGAAATATCAAACAGCGAAGAGATAGATTTAACGTCAAAAAGGCGAAATAAGCCAGTATTACAGCAAAAAAAATGGGAGACGTAAAACGGAAGACCAGAAGTAGGACTACACGGAAGATCTGTGCAGATGACAATTTCCATATAAGGCGTACATAACTTCCCCATATAGAGTGATATCAAACTGCAAAAATAAACATTCCGTTACCAAGTCTTATATCTTCTACTGTTAGACTAACAGTGGTAGCACTATAGGCATACTTTTGTTCTATTTCTGTCATTATATATTGTTAGTTGATTTGTGTCAATTCCTAGTAATATGAAGATCGTGCCTAATTAATTGCAGATTTACTGCCTAGTTAGTTCTATGAGTTATTTGCGTCATACTGTTTACTGGGTAGCACTGTGTCTGTGTGTGTATGTATGTATGTATGTATGTAGCCGGTGAAGTAAATGGCTTGTAAATATAGTATTCTGGTTGTTGAAAAAAAACCCAAAGACAATACAGTTCTCCTAGATATAGATAATGTCAACTGTTGTGTATTATAATCTATGCATTGTTTATTATCAACTGCCCCCTCCCCCTCGAACTCCACTCCAGTGTCTTCGGTATATCTTTTTATTCTGTTTTTTCTCTCTTTCTATTTATCTATCTATCTATCTGTCTCTCTGAAAGTCATAAGTTTTAGTGCTTTTTTTTATAGTTTTTTGTTTGTTTGTTGTCATTTTGTTAAACGAGTTAAATTACAATATTATGATAACGGCTTAGATAACATGGAAGATAAATCCAATTCGTTTATCTCACTATCAAACTAATTCTTTTAGTACCTAAATAAGAAATATATATATATTCAATCTATCGTTATATACCGATGGAGGGAAGATGAAAAAGTCGAAAAATTACGTGGAAAAAAAAACAGACAGAAAGCAAATAAAATATATTATTTAAGGTGTTAATTAGAAATTCGACATAGTGTAAAATTTGAAATTTATCTACCTCATTGAAATTGATTTAAAGCTGTCTATATATACTCCCCCTATCAAGGATCTAGGACAATCGATCGCCAAGTCCTCAGACCAACTTTAGTCATCATCAGGTGGTATCTTATTTAATTTATTCCTTTACGTTCCGAGTGGAACGTAAAGCTTCACAAGCTAGAGCTTTCATTTTTATTTACGGCATGAGGTTTTGTCAGCCTCATGCATGGCATTGCCTCTTTACTGGCCTTATTACCGGCTTAGCGAGGTGTAGTAGTAGTGCGTTGGCCTGTGGCGTGGTTGGCGAGCGTTCTACCGCTGAACCACCTATGCACAAGTGCAACGTAGGGTGTCAAAAGCATATCTTTGTTTATGTCCTGTACTCTTCAACCCTCTTTAGCTGACTTCACTAGTGTCCATAGGGTTCCATCTCCTCCTCCTCCTCCTCACACGATTTTCTTTATGCCACCCTTGGATCCACTCCCAACTCGCCGTATCCTACTCGGTTTCCACTCGAGCCATGGCCTGGTGCGCGATATCACTTGATGGTCTCCTAATCATTTGTTTGATCCATCTCCATATCCGTCGGTATATTTGTTGGCTGATAGGTTCTTGTTTGATTCGTGCCACGGTTCCTTATTGGTGATCTTTTCTGCTCATCTGATTTTCACTATGGGACGAAGTGGTTAGTTGTTGTTGTTGCTTTTGTTGAAAGAAGTCTAAAGTACAGGTAATTAACAGTCACCATCCATTATCACTTATTCGATTTTCTTCAGTCATTTCAACATTAACAGAAGACTCTCAGAAGAATTTAACACATCTGCCTTCCAATTTCGACATGAATATACTGAGCAGTAGCACTAAGTAGCACAAAAAAAGACCTAAATGATGAACTAAAACAGATAGAAGAGGCTTTGGTGTTAAATAACTATTCTTTAAAATTCATTTGGAAGATCAATAAAGGCCAAAAACAAAATAAAAATAATTGTGAAACTATTAATAATAACATAAATAAGAGAGAATATAAGTCATCTAGTTATACCATATAAAGAGGGGACATCTGAAACCCTACGTAGGATTCTAAATAAAGCGGGAATTAAGGTGACATTTAAACCTACAAACTCACTCAGGGACAAGCTGTGTATGCTGAACCAATTAGACAAAATAATATTATTTACAAAATACCATGCAATGACTGTGAGTTGAGTGAACTACATAGGTCAAACTAGTAGGTCAGGGGTAGTCTGATTGTCGGAACATAAGAATTTAGCTAAGTCAGTAATGGTTGACCCCGAGAAGATAAGGTAATTTAGAAAAAGGCTTAGCAATTGCAATGCATGCATAAACACACAACCACACAATAGGGTGGGAGAGGGTTAAAATTCTAAAAAGTAATCTAGGTAGGTGGAGAGTGAGGTTGATTAATGAATCCTTGTTCATCGAGTCTACACCCAACACATGCAATAGGAATGATTCATCACTCATACCTGAAATATGGAAAATACTATTCCCAATCAAATCAAGTGAAAATCAAGAGAAAAACAATGGAACTATATAAATGAAGTTAAGAAGTCGTGTGATTACCTTGATATGATTATGAGCAATAAATTGTGCTCGAAACGTGGTCATCAGTAAACATTACTGTATAACACTGTGAGACTTTATCAAAACAAAAATTTATCCATAATGGAATGAATATATCTGCATACAGAGGTCCTTACGCCTGTAAGACACTCATTTTATCAAATCATTCTGTAAAAAGTTCATTTGATCTGACAGATATGCTAGGCACCTTGAACATTGAAGGAAAAGGTTATGTGTTCAATTGATATAGAATCTTTAATTCACCAATGTTCCTCTTCATGAAACTGCCGATTTCATTTGTGATTGCATCACAAGCAATGGGATAAATTTACCGTATTCCTGTCACTTAAATCAGATACATCATCTTAATGTGTACAGAAAGGGGCATACATCTGCTTACCGGCTATGAACTAAAAAAAAACACCTTCAAATGAGTTATTATTTATGCTATAGAGGTGTGTTTAACTAACTCTGCATGTTTTCCCCTCCCCCGCCCCCTCTTTATTTTCTTCCTATTCAACAATACTCCAGGAAGAAGCCAACATTGGTCGACCTAATTGGGAGCATTTAAATGATAATTTGCATGTTTTAATTACTGTTGAAGATTATGAAAATCGTGCAAAGGCTAGAATTGAAAAAGCCAGTGAATATATCAGTTTATTTCTAGAAGAAAGTGTTAAAGTGGTAAGCATTTACTGGGATTTCTTCTTCTTCTTATTATTTTTCTTTTCGCTTGCGTTTGTATTCAGAGTGTAGATATATGTGTGTGTGTGCGTGTGCGTGTGTGTCTTTGTGTAGTGTGCGCAGTATCGACTTTTTAGCATTATTGTGTATGTGATTGTACCCTCGATTGTCTTTTAAAAATGGATTAAGACTTCATTTGCTTTATTTCACGATAGTGAACATAACACAAGATAAGATGTATTTCATCAACGAAAGTTAGATTTGTACACCATATGACTAGAGTAGACAGTCAGACTTTGTAAATTGGTATTTTGATGCGCATAACTAACTTTTAGCTACTTATAATTCAGCTCAACGGACTCGTCCTAGAAGACTGATTGGGGTAGGTAGGTGGAATTCGGTTAAAAAAAAGGCTACAGGTGATCATAAATTATATGGAGAAGAGGTCTAAGTTTGTTGTGGCTGTAGTTCTGGTGACAACGATGTGTGTGTAGGGTGCGGAATTTTTGCTTTGTCCTTCTTTTAACTGGCAGTGATACGTGGCCGTATTGTAGCTGGAAGATCAGAAGAGGACAGTTGTCCTTGACTATAGCCTTTTGCATCCTATCATTCTTATTAACTGGTATAATATGGTGAATAAATATTGAAGTTGGCCGTTGAGAATATTGGGTAAGGAAGGGAAGTCTATCAATGAGTTTGTGAAGCTTCACGACACGTGCTATGCATGTTGAGCGACCGCCTTCCTCATCGAGCAATGTTAGCTCACACAAAATTAGATTGGAGAGAGAGTGTGTGTGTAAGGCGCGGTCAAATGGAGACGTGGCATCAATCCATGAAATTCTTAACTACTTGTTTGATTCATCCACGTAGGAATGTGTAGACTACCTGGTTGATTTCCTTGAAACTCCAATAAGCAATGGCGCGTGCTGCTGCTTAAGTCGCATGTGGAATAACCTCTTCGGGGAATAAATAATACTTCATGTGTCACTAAAATAGCTACTGGTAAAGAAATGCGGAAGTAGGTATACCATTGAGAAAGAAACTATTAAACGCCATACACATAAGATCCAAACATTCCTAAGATCTGCTCTGACTAACCTTATTCACATCTTTTTATGTTACAGGTTCGATAATGAGTTGACATCATTTAAGAGAACCATTGGAAAACCAACAGGGAGTACTGGACATATGTTTTGCCCTGGTATGGGAGTCTTCAGATCGCTCTGTAACCTAAAGTCCTGGATTCGAAGCTCAGTGGGTGCGTGCCATTGAAGAGTCCCAAAGTAGGATGAAACAACCGTCCAGTACTCTCTGGTAATTTCCTAATGGTTCTCTAAATGATGTCAACTCGTGATCAAACCTGTAACCAATCAAATCCCTGCAAACCTTGATAATCTTCATGTGTATTATTCAGGCGTACACTGTTTTCACCTCCTAAAAAACTTTGTCAAAAACCTATTTAGTTAATACTTATAATTCAATATTTATGTATATATATCCAAAGTAATTTTTATTTTTCTAAATGTATCTCATTTGACCGTTGGGCGTGTATCACTTTCAAGTTGTACATTATTATCACCATTAATATATTGTATACATCTGAAGAGTAATTTTAGCCTGGAGAAAACTTATCTCTCTGCATAAAACATGTTGATACTTATTATCTGTAATCAGTCTGTTTCACTCATCTGTACAGATTTGAACGCGTGCAGGAGAGTTGATTGAGAATTTTAACGATTAGATCAAAGAATTGTATATAGTGTGTTTTGTCATTACTAATCCATTTTAAAGAAATTTTGTTTTGCACTATGTGTATTTTGGTTAAAGTGTATATAAAAATCAATACTCAACAAACAAGGTGTTAAGGTGGTGGTGGGGTTTATAGCATACTGCCGTAACATCAGTGCTGATTGTAGCGACAGCGGCACAGTCCATTATTGTGTCCACATAATGACAAATCGATATATTATTCAGATATGGGGGATGGTGACTAACAGTGGAATCCGGGGGGGATAACGCACGTTTCGTTCTATTTGTGACTTGTCAGTTGGATGTGCCTACACTCCCCAATGAGTGAGTGATAGTGTTCCCACTGAGGCTGGAACCCAGTACCCCCATAGTTCCAAACTCCAAAGCCCAAGTGGCTTGGTCGATAACATTTTGGCGTTTGTAATTATGGGTACTGAGTTCTAGCTTCAGTGGGAGCACCATCACTCACACACTCACTCACTCACTCTTAGGGGAATTCAGGTACATCTAGCTGACGAGTCCTAAATGGGACGAAATACGTGTTATTCATCATGGATTCTACTTCTAGTCACCATCCACCAAATTACTTCATGTTAAATCATCAGACATCGTCGAAGCATCAGCATCATCCACAGAAGGAGTCTACACATTAATAGAGGCTGAGCACTTCGGTTCAATCCATCAATCGGAAAGTGCAAATTGAATTAAATTATCATTTAGATATTTGATATTAAATAATGAATTGAAAAATCTTCTTTATGGTATTTTTAATTTGTGTGGCTTCATAATTTCTGCTAGTCTGTGTGACAGTAGATGCTGTTTCATTGTCATATCTAGACGATCATGTTTCAAAGTTGAATAAATATAAAATTGCATCTTCATAATTCTATGCTATCATATTCAGCTTATTGCTTCAGGAATGCTTCATTTTTGCTTGTGTTCAAGTAACATTCATCAAGCTTGGGGTGTATCCTGTTTAGATAGTTGGAGGTCATTGGCAAGAAGCCGTGGGCCTACTTTTCGTGCACTCACCAGTCAGTACACGTATCTGCAACCTTGAAGTAACTTATGTCCCTTTTGAGATTCTAACCCGCGTCACCCAGTGCTACAATCTGAGACGTTACCACTAAGAAGTTATTCGAACTTGTGATTGACCTCCTGTCGGACTGTATTGGATCCTCTGATTGGACACGAACTAGTAAATAATGTAGTGTGTTTAGTCCTTTCTTTGATGTTAACGTCTTTGACGACAGCACTGGGTAACCTGGGTTCGAATCCCAGGAGGGACATTAGTCCCTTGAAAATTACAGGTAAGCCTTGCTGGCTGGTAAGAGCCAACTAAGCACGACACGTAAGTACAGACAACGCTTCTACCGATTGCCTCCAACCATCAAACACCAACAATTCGCAGTGCACCGTGGTGGCGATCCTTTTTATCATTACTCGGTGTTAGGTGGTCGTGAAGTGGACCATGTGACACATTCTTCCTATTATTTACAGAATGATTATACTTGTAGCAGTTGTGTAGATTGTAAAAAACAGATGTCTCAATCAAGTTGAAGTTACTTTGCATTAGTTTGTGTTTTATGTGTAATGAATGTAGCCAGATGATACGATATCCTGGCACTATTCTTTTGTGTGACATGTCGATGTATTCTAATATAAACAACATTAGTTTGATAGAAGTGGATAGATTTCAGATGTAGAAATCTGTTAAAACATACAAGCAAACTGTTAATTAGTTCAAAATGCAGTCCCCACTTTACGGATACCTTCGTAATATCCCAGCACACCTATAGTAAATCGTTTAAGGACCTGTCATAAACGTGATCTAACCACTTATCAAGTACATCCGTCGTTTAACGGTAGAGAATACACGCCAACCGTGCACGTGGTTCGTAGTTCAATCCTTGGCTGACGCACTCCTAAACCTTTCTTACCTCGTTGTAATCCTCGTGAAGAGGGAAGGTTGCGTGCTAAGCCATCAGCTACACTGCATAAAAATACTACTGCTAATGAAATTCCACAGCTGAAGCCTAAACACCTGTGCTCCCCCCCCCCCGAAAAGCGAAGGAACAGAAAATATATTCATCAAGAGGTAAATACTTTTTTTTATCCATTTGTGTTCCGATTAAAATACAGGGCTTCAAGCTTAAGCTTTGTAGTCTGGGTAGCAGTGGTGTTTATTTTTACGGGATGGGGTTGCTAGCCTCACCCCCAACCTCCCCTATCTTTGTCAGGCTTACAACCGGCTATTGGAGGTAAAGATGTGCGCCAACCGGGATTCGAACCCCGGACCACATGCATGCTTCGCGAGTTTCCTATCTCTGAGCCACAGACACAAAAGAGGTGAATATACAGTATAGGAATGTCCTCTTACCTACTTTCTGCTGTTTAATTTTAAAAGACATCCGATTTATTGCTTTAGCACTACTACTGTAGCGAGATCATAGAATCTATAACTTAGGGTTTTAAAAATTCAGTCAATGTTTGTTAATGAACGGTGGGTATTTTCACTATTTTGATAGCAGTTTAATAATGATATTTTAAATACTTTACGCAGACTTCATTTTAATATCCTTCTTTTCCTAGTATATCATTTCTAAGTGTGTTTTGTAATATATTTCTGTTTGTTTTCATCGCCTCTTTATATGTTGTCTTGAAGTGTTGTTGAATTTAAAATTTATGTCTTGGTGTAGAAATTTATACGTCAACCTCTCAGTAAAGTATTTCTTGGGTTTCTGTTTACTTCAGTGTAATTCTTGATGAATTGTTTATGATATGTTAGCTAAATGGATACATTGACCATCCTCTTTTTGCCCCCAAAAGGGTGCAATCTCACTAATGTTATGACGTTTTTCTATTTCACCTTATATCTTGGCTGTACACTTGTTAACTTCTTTTTCACAGTAGTGTACATATACATCAGGAGTTCAGTGGTAGAATGTGCTTGTCAGTTATGCGGAATGTCCGGGTTCGATTCTCAGTTGATGCAATCACTCCTGAACGTCGACTTAGTTTACTAACTGATAAGTAAGCCCGTGGAAAGATTGGACGTGGGACTAGCCAACTCCAACCCGTAAAAGCATTAACATCGCTACTGAGACTTCAATGAGCTTAAAACCACATGCTCCCCTTGGAATGGAAAAAAGAGTAGGAGTATTTTGAGTAGAAATATACGTTTTTCTTACTTTGGCTGTCATTTCCCAGATTATTCAACCATATTTGTAACAGCAGATGACAAGAGTATT